CACTGACTTTCAACCCAAGTGTCTCCTTGGCAGAACCTCAGAGAAAGTCAAAAGGTCCGGGATGCATGTGCCCAGTCCAGTCAGAGTTCAGAGCAGGATTCAGAAGTGAAATGGAAACCTAGATGGCAGAAAGCTAGCCTTGCTAAGGCATGATGGGTGCCTGGTTTGTACTGACCCATGGACCTTTGGGGATCTTTTTTCCCCCAAATTGATTGACTGATTTCCTATCCAACTGTATCCCAACCTTTCCTTCATCTCTGTAAGAAAGATTCTCAGGTATGTCATCTATAAGCCTGTCCATCCTCAGCACTTTTTGCCATTCTCTCTGTATTTATTACTTTCTTGCTGTTGCAATAAAACACCATGACCAAGGCAACTTACACAAGAAGTTTATTTTGATTTATGGTTCTAGGAGGACAAGGGTTCATCACAGTGGGTAGGCTTGGCAGCAGGCAGGGATCACAGCCAGAGCAAGAAGCTGAGAGCTCACATCCTCTACGACAAGCATGGAGTAGAGAGAGAAAGCTGGAAGTAGGTGTGGGGTTTTAATCTCCAAGTCTGTCCTTGGTGATGTATTTCCCCCAGCAAGGCCACACCTCCTAAACCTCCCAAACAGTGCCATGCCACCAACTGGGGACCAAGTGTTCAAATGCCTAAGAACATGGTGGACGTTTCTCATTCAGACTACTACATTCCACTCCCTGGTCTTCATAGTCTCATCGGCCATATCATAACTCAAAATGCTCTTAGTACAACTTCAAAAATCCCCAGAGTCTTTCTCAGTCGTGACCCTGTTTAAAAGTCCAAAGTCTCTTCTGAGACTCAAGGTAATATCTTAATTGTAACCCCACATAAAATCAAAAATTAAATGACAGACTTCCAACATATAAAAGCATAGAATAAACATTACCTTTCAAAAAGGGAAGAATGAGGACATAATAAAGAAATCACAGACCAAAGTAAGATGGAAACCCAGCAGGACAAGGTCCAAATCTTGTAGCTCAATGTCAGATGTCAAGGGGCTTATTGGCTTCACCCCTCCAGCACTGCTGTATGTTACACACTTCTCTCTCTTGGCCTGCTTTCACTTCCTGTATGCAGCTCTCCTTGGCAAATATCCCACAGCTCTGGCATCTCCAGCCTCTTGGGATCTCAACCACAACCTAGGCTTTGTTTCCACAACTTAATGCAATGACTTCTCAGAGACTGCATGCAGCAACTACCCTACCACACACAGTGCATTGCCTCAGTGGCTCTCAAACGGTGGATAAAGAATCCATGACCTCTTTACTTTTGCATCATGCATGCCTCTGAAACCAGCACCACATGGATGACCTGCCAAATTGGTGGATAATATTGCCAAGTTTGGCTGTCAGCTTGGGATGGACTCTGGCCCCTTTGAACCACATTAGAGGCAACTTTTGTTTGCAGTTGCTTTCTAGGAGCAGAAGACTTATTATTATTATTATTATGAGATTTTTCTATTCATTTTACATACCAACCACAGATTCCCCTCTCCTCCCTCCTCCTGCCCCCCAGCCTTTCCCCTCAACCCACCCCCCATTCCCACCCCTCCTCCAAGGCAAGGTCTCCCATGGGGAGTCAGCAGAGCCTGGTACATTCAGTTGAGGCAGGTCCAAGCCCCTCCTCTCTGCACCAAGGCTGTGCAAAGTGTCCCACCATAGGCACTGGGCTCCAAAAAGCCAGCTCATGCACCAAGCACAGATCCCGATCCCACTGCCTGGGGGACCCCTAAACAGTTCAAGCTAAACAACTGTCTCGCTTATCCAGAGGGCCTAGTCCAGTATCATGGGGGCTCTTCAGTTATTGGTCCACAGTTCATGCACTTCCTCTAGTTTGGCTGGCCGTCTCTGTACATTTTCCCATCATAATCTCAATGTCCCTTGCTCGTAGAATCCCTCCTCTCTCTCATCGATTGAACTCGTGGAGCTTGGCCTGGTGCTTAGCAGTGGATCTCTGCATCTGCTTCCATCAGTCACTGGATGAGGGCTCTATGATAACATTTAGGGTATTCAGCCATCTGATCACTGGAGTAGGCCAGTTCAGGCACTCTCTCGACTATTGCCAGTAGTCTAAGGTGGGGTCATCCTTGTGGATTCCTAGGAGAGCAGAAGACTCTTTAAGCCTTTGCCTAAGGTAACAGATGCTTGTGTGTCGTTGTATGCATGTGCCAGTAGAAAATGGAAGAGGGCATCAGGTGTGGAAACCAAACTCCAGTCCTCTGCAAGAGTGGCAAGCTCATTTTACCACTAAGCCATCTCTCCAGCCCTAAATCTATACTTTTTTTTTTCAGAAAGCAGTGGGGATTAGAGATCCTCCCACTCTATTAGGGTCCTATGTTTATAGATTAGAGGTGAGCAGACAAAGGAGAAAAGGAGTTTGTTGATATGTGCCCTAGGAAGATTTCAAATTTATTCAGTTGTGAGTGGGGTTTACTTGGTAGATATGTATCAATCTGAATAGACCAGAAACTCTTATAGGGACCTCCTTAAGTCTAGCCCTTCTCATTGAGTATTTTTTTTACTGCCAGGCACTATTGCCAACCTCCAGCAGCTTGGACGAAGTGCATGGAAATACTGTTAACATCACCATCACTAAAGTTGATACTGTCGTCCTCACTGCCAACCAGAAGGTGTTGGTGTCCCAAGATCCTGGTGACACTCAGTGTGTGCCCAGTGGAGGTAAGAAGACCTGAGGACAGGAAGATACAAAGAGGTCCTGGAGCTTTTCTGCAAAGCCTTGACCCTGGCAGCTCCTACTACACCCCCCACCTTCCTTTTCTCACCCACCACATCTCACTTCCCCAAAGGTCAAGGCTCCTGTCCCAGCCCCACCTTGCCCTTGCAATCAACCCCTTCATTCTTCTAACAGATGTGTCCACAATATTTTTTAAGCAATTAGTAGTCATAAGACAGTGTTCTTGGCACTTAGACTAATTTTCAAAAAAATGAATCATAATATGGCTCCTTTCCTAAGGGGAAAAAAGCCTGAGGGGCTTTAAATTTTTTTTTTATTAAAGTTTAACAGTGTCCTAAGGATACTAAGACCTCACCTGTTACCACATTTCATTTTGTAATGACACTGTGAGGTTGGGTACAGTTTTGCTATCTATTAAAACACACACACACACACACACACACACACACACACACACACACACACACACATATATATATATATATATATATATATATATATATATACACACATATATTTAATCCAAAGATTTAATCCAAACTCTAAATGTCAATGAGGAAAGTAATACTGGAAAAAAGTGATTGCTCCATACATGTCTGTTCTGGGGAATGGCCTCCCTGGGAACCCGGGAGTAGGCTCCCATGCCAGACATTTTGTCATCAGGCATAATCCTTTGTTACCTCTGGGGCAGGTTGTTAGGCTTGCAAGAAGCAGATAAGGATAACAACAGATGACTGTCCTTTGGGGCACTGAACCATGGGTCTCTTAAAGATTATGAATGAGTTACAGGGAGGGACCATGAGGGAAAGATATTTGAGTTAATTAGTTTAAATGATGGAATATACTATCGTTTGCTTTATTGCCTGTTGGGATGTTTGTCATGGGGATTTTCTTTTTTCTTTTTTTGAAATGAGTTTCGCTGTGTAACAGCCCTGGCTGTTCTGGAACTTGCTTTGTAGACCAGGCTGACCTCGAACTCACAAAGATCCACTTGCCTCTGCTTCCTGAGTACTGGGATTAAAGGCGTGCTTCTGGACACCCAAGGGTTGTCTTTGGGGGATTTTAATAAAGCCAAAGTACAGTGCTTAATGACTGAGTTTAGCAGAAATAGAGTTGTAAGAGGTCAGAGACTCTGCTCCCTCCATCCTGAGACTCAGGGAGGGCTGAAAATCAGCAGCTCCCAATCCCTTTGGAAGGAAGGTGAGCATAAATAACACAATCAAACTTCTCTTTGGATCCTGTGGCCAGCTTGATACTCGGTGGACTCTATGACCCATTTGTTTGCGGGAGGCATTCAATAAATATTTATCTAAGAAATTAATCCAGGCTAGAGGGCTGAGATGCACACCTATCATCCCAGCACATGGGAGTCTGAGGCAGGATTCTCAATACTGGATTACAACGAGACACTACCTCACATAAATAGAGCAAAGACAAGAATTCAGTTATTTCACAGGCAGTCTGCACAGCATCACAATCCACACAACAAAGATCATTTTCCCCCCCTCTGGCAAATCGCTCAATTTTATTTACCCCTTTCTTCCTTTATCTAGGAAATTTTATTGGCATATAATAATCGCAGTGGCTTTCATTATGGCATGCTCATACAGGCATATGGTATACTTCGATCACAGTCACCCGCTATCTACTCCTTCCAAACCAATGGTCCCTCTCTTTTGCCTCCATGTCACCTTTGACCATGGTTTGTCCTAAACTCCTATAATTAGCAACATTTTTATGATAGATAATATGTGCTTTATCTTTAAAAGGAAGAAACTGCTGTCGGTGCTAAGAAACAGTTGCCGATTCGCTGGCAGTGTTTGGGTTTTATCACTTTTCTACCCCGTTGCAACTTAAGCAAAACCAACAGCTTGGAAGGCCGGGTCAACTTCCTGCGCGCCGCATTCACAGAAATGCAACTGTTCATTGACAGACCCACCAACTTCAGCGTCGCCCGCGACACAGGGATAGGGACGCTCAAGCGCCCTGAGGGCTGCAGTCGCACCTCGGCGACCAGGGCCAACTGTCTAACGCTGGCTCGCCCCGCCAGAGCTTGCAAACACACCCGTCTGGGCATGCGCGCTCCGCGCTGCCCACTACGCCCGCCCTTCGCTTCTTGAGTGACACTGTCTCAGAAAACTCAGGCGCCACACTGCGCCTGCGGGAAAGGAGGAGGCGGAGGGCGGGGCGCGGTTGTGGGCGGAGCAGGAGGCCGGGAAGGAGCCGCGCGAGCGCAGTGGCTCAGCGGGCAGGAAGCGGAGCGCGCGGGGGCGGGGCGGGCGCGCGGGGGCGGGGCTCGGGCCGCCGCGCATTGTGCAGCGGCTGGCCGGCGCGGCAGGCCCTGGACCCGTGTGGTTCCCGGGCATGGTGAGCAAGGGGCTGCTGCGCCTGATCTCTTCAGTCAACCGCAGGAGGATGAAGCTGCTGCTGGGCATCGCGCTGCTCGCCTACGCCGCCTGTGAGTGCGCGCGCGGTGGGCGGGAGCCCATTCATTCCCGCGCGGCGGGGAGCGGGCGCTGCGGCCGAGCGGCGGGCTGTGCAGGGCCGGGAGCCGGGTCCCCGCTTCCACGAGGCTGCACTTGTGCAGTGGAGCCGGTGGCTGCTTTGCTTGCAGCCCGCCCCCGCGTAGGCCCGGCGTCCGACCCGGTGACCGGTGGAGGGGCCTTTGCCCCGGACGCGGTGGTCACGTTCCTCGAACCGTAGGCACTGCGGACCCGACCGACCTCGTTGTCCCCGGCAGCTCTTACTGGCCTGAGCGGCTACGGTGTCCTTGGCGTCCGGGGAGCCCGCTCGGTCCGGGTTAGCGATCCTGGAGAGTGCCGCTCCCCCGGGGACACCCTTCGAGACGGTGCTGGTTAAGTAGGATATAAATACTGTAGCCGTTGGCAGGGACCCCGCTCTGACTGTTTGCTCCGCAGGAAAATTACTCAGCATTTAACTCTGGGGGGAGCCGAGTGTTGCCATCCCCCGTGAATGTCCTGTGTTGCCATGCTCCGGTATCCAGGCTCCCCGCCCCCCATTCCGCGCCAGGTACTCCTCAGGCGTGGCGGGACTAGGGCCAAGCCCAGGAAGGAGGCACAGCAGAGGGGACCGGGCGGGGAGGATGTCATTTGCGTCCTTACAACCTGGCTATCTGGAGAGAGGGTAAAGCCACTGCGCAGGCAGGTGAGGGACCCTCAGCTTCTCAGAGGAGGCAAAGTCCTATTTTATTTTGTTGTTGTCTTTGAGCTTTGCAGTGGGGATACAATAGCTGCTATTAATACTTTACCAAGTACCAAAATTGGGCTAAAAATAGCTCCCAGAGTGAGCTGCTTCTAAATCCTGGCCACGCTGGCAGACATACTCAGATGAGACCTGCTAAGTGATTGAGTTTCCAAGGCTCTGAATCCCAGGTGAGTAGGTACTTCGGAAAGTGAGTTTAGCTGATGGGTTATAGGCGCTGGTAAGATGCAGCCTGCCTGCTACAGCTCAGCTGATCCAGGAGGAGGAGCCAGGACGCTCTGGAAAGGCTTCTGGTTGCTAGGAGAAGTTTTAGGTCTGGATTGCTTGATAGAAATGATTGGTTTCTGCAGAAAAGGAAGAACTAGCCTCAAGTGTGATCTGTGTTAAGAAGAGCCCACATTCAAGAGACAAGACCCCTTACAACCGTGTAATTATTACTGTGATAATAATAGGAATACCTAAGTTAGCTGAGTGCTTAACTGTATGTGTAGGTAGGATTCCTATACGGCTGCACTTGATTACTTCGCATACCTGAAGATGTGAGTAATATGATTATTTTTACCATTTTATGGGTGAGAAAATTAAGAGCACGAGAGATTAGCACCTTTATTATCCTGAGCCCAGATTTATTCTGGCCTCAGAAAGGCTGTGAGCTGGGGCAAGAACTCAGGTCCCTGGACAGCAGTTTCAATGTTGATTTACTTACCGAGGGCTTCTAAGGTGAGGCATCGGTGTTTAGAATTAGGAAGTGGGGGGATTTTTGGAGCCATGGCAAGTGTTTTCGCCACTCGTTCATTCCACCGGCGCATTTCACTCAGTTTTCAACATTGTCAGTTGTTGAATGTGGCAGCCAGGCACAGCACGAGTGCAGAAACATCAGTCTTTCGCTTTGGTGGTACAGAACCTAGACCCAGTAGTTCGGCACTGGGTTCTCACACTTGAGTGCATCAGAGTCACCCAGTGGCTTTTTAAAAACACTTTGTTTTATATTCAGCAGGTCAGGGATATGGCCTGAAAACTTTCCATTTCTAATATAGCTTCTTCTAAGATGCTTTTGTTGTGGTTTAGAGAATCTTTTTTTTTTTTTGGTTTGTTTCATCCTGTAGTCCAGGGTGGCCTTAGATTCTCAGTAATGCAGAAGTCCTTCTGAGGGAGATGCTGCTTTGAAAACCATTTGCCAGGAAAGAGAAGGGCACGGATCCAGTACTCCTGCAAATAAGGTTAAGCTCGCAAACTGATGTGACAGGGGGGAATGTTCAGTGTTTACGGCAGGGACTCCCAAGTGAGAGCAGTCAAGGATGTTGGTTTCCCTAAGAAACCAGGATGTGAGCTGAGAATGAAGGATATGGAGGAGTTAACAGGAGGGGATGCTTTCCAGAAAAAGCAGCGCTTGCAGAGGTCTTGTGGTACTGAAGAGCAAACAGTGGTCTAGTAATGCAAGGGAGAGCAGTGTTCTGGGAATGTGGATGGAATACAGCACAATGATGAAGCTACCCAGACAGGCAGGCAAGGACTAGAGTTGGCAGGCCAGGAGGTCTTGGCTCAGCTACACTGAGAATGGGTACTCAGTGTAGTTATGAGGATTTAAAGGCTAAGTTGGAGACAGTATTAATAATGAGAAGTAATGGTAAGTCTGAGTTGCTTTGCCATGAAAACGTTACAGGGCTTCTGATTGGTCATATCAGAGGATGCTGGAAGTGTAGTCTGTGGCAGCACCTGTGATGTCTTTTTAAATAGAATACTGTTTGTTTGTTCTTTGGCAATTTCACACATGGAAGCAATGTATCCTGATCATATACACCCCCTCTCTCCTAGATACCCCCAACCCCATAATGTCTTCTTTTTTGTTGTTAGTAACTCACTACGTCCAGTCAGTGCTGCCTGTTGGAACGGTGACCCATCCTGGTGACTTGATCTTGCATGGGTAGCCCTAGCTGCAGTGAGTCCGTGGCTGCGGTGGCTGTGTTGTCCTAAAGACAGCATTTCACAGCACTCCTTCCCATCCTCCAGCTCTTTGGTTTGTTCTTTCCTCCTGTTTTCTAAGATGTTCCCTGAGTGTTGGGGGAGGGGCGATAGAGATGCCTTGTTTAGGACTAAGCACAAGATAAACACTAATGTCAGCACTTTGACCAGATCTTTTTATTAACTTGCAGAGAGAAGCTTCTCTGGCCAAGGCTGAGGGCAACACTGATCTGTGGGCCTGAGCGTACATATTTAGAAGCAGTTGGACAACATGTCCTTTAGCAGGCCCTGGAGCCTGTGACCTGAGCCGTGGGCTTTTAACCAGCTTTATAGCACTAGGTCTGAATTCACTCTTGTGGGTCAGGCTTCAGACCAATCCCAAGCGATTGGTTGCCCTCTATCACTTTTGTGACGTCATTGCAACACTGGGCTCATCTTGCCAGGAAGGTTGTTGTTATAGCCTGAGAGTTGCCTGCAAGGATACCATCAATGATTCCCCCCACCCCCTGACACACACACACACATACATACACCCCTGTATAACACTTTTTGCCACAATGAAAGCTAGGCAGCAAGGAGGATGTTTTCATACTGGTTCCAGCTTGATATCTCTACGTCCTGCAGCCACAGTGTGTTGTCTTCAGCAATGAAGCTTTATCGTCTAGTTCTGGTAATGCCCATGATTGCTAATCTCTGTTTCTCTTATTAATAATCTCGCCTTCCCGTTACAATAGAGCACCACTGTCACCTCTGTGTGACAATACACAAATACTCCTAATTATGGCACCTTCCCCTTCAGTCCGCTCTCTAGAAGTGTTCTTTCTGTTCTGCCAGCAGGGCACACATTCTCCGAGCCCTTGTCTTTCTCCCAGCCTTGGTGCCTGCTGGGGCTGACCTGCTGTCCTTGCTGCTGTCACGTACCTTCGGTGTCAGGGCAGCAGGCATGTGTTACCCGAGGCTAACTCAATGCTGCACTTGAGTTCTTTTTCATGCAGATAGATGTTTCTGTCTGCATGAAGTTCCCCAGCCTTTGCATCAGCCCATGTAGTACTTCAGGCAGTGCCCACTGAGAGAGCCCAAGGGAATGAGTTGAAATTCACCACAACCTTCCATGCACCTGGCAGAGGTTCAAAATGCTCACCAGTAGCGCTGTCGGTTTTCAACTTGGGTAGAACTGAAGATGATCTGATGAGTCTTTGCAAGGTCTGCGGTCAGCAGTCTCCTCTGCCACCATTCCCCCAGCACTCAGCACCAGGTACCCTACTTCTGGCTCATGGTTTTGATGGTTTGGGTCTGAGTCTTATGTTTCTTGATTTTTCAGATGGAGCTGTAACTTGTGACTTCATTCTTTGGAAAGTGATCAGGTGTTTGCTTTCTTTCTCCCCTCCCCCATGCTTTTGCTGACCCCATCCCCGTGTCCACACGGCATTATATTTGAGATCATTTGGTGTTTACATGCGTGACTAAATGCTGCTGGATGGGAGCCATGCCCTGTGTTTTTGTTCTTGGCTGTCTCCCCTACCCCCATTTAAATGTGTTTTCTCTCTCTGTATTGTGACTGATCCAATGCGATTTTTTTTCTTTTTTTTGCCAGTTGTCTTTGTCTAGGCTGCTTGTGTATCAGAGCATCCTTATGTTGGCGCCTTCCAGAGATGTGGCTGGGGATAGACTGCCAGCCTCAGTACTCCCATCTGCCTGGCTCTGCCTACAGTCGGGCACTTTGACACTGTGCATGGTGTCCTTTCTGTGTTTGTATTTAGGGACTGAATGAAGGTAGAATTTCAGAAAAGCATCTTTTCAGGATTTGGAAGCATTTTCCATTCCTTCCCAACTTCTAGTGTTGTTTGAGAAGCATGAAACCAGTTCTCATGTTTCTGGAAAATGTCAGGTTCTGCACTGTGCCCCCGGTAGCCACTGTTTCCAGGCTACTGTCCCTTCTCTGGTAGCACTTTCTCTTTGCTTGGTGGCCTTGAATAATGGTGTTCACAGCCTGCCCAGGACAGAACAGGCGTACTGATCCCTCACCTTTGGGCTAGAGTTCTGATGTGAAAGCAAGCTAAGTTGTTGCTGTTCATTTCTCTTCCTTTGGCAATTAGCCATGGTTAAGGCGATGGAGCAATTCACTTCCTCTCCATCTTGATTTTGAGTCTGGTCTCTCACTGAACCTGGAGCTCACCGATATGGCTTGGCTGGCTGGCCAACCAGCCCACGGATCCTCCGGTCTCTCTCTCCCTGGTGTTGGGATTTTACAGACCTGCACTGCTGTGCAAGCTC